GCGTGTGCTCTCTCTCCCTCTCTGCCGGAGCCCCGGCTCGGATGCGCTCTACAGCTGACTCTGCTCATCAGCTGATCGGCTGATCGGCTGATCGGCTGATCAGCTGATCAAATAAACTCATCAACTTTTAATTTGGTCTTGTTGTGTGTGTGTGCGTGTGTGTGTGTGTGTTTTATTGTTTAAATAGTATTGCCCAATTGTAGGGACAATGACTTGCTCTTCTGTCCTTCCGGGAAGACTGTCCAGTCAGCACGTACAGCTGGTCTTCGGCGTCGCCAAGGGGGGATCTGAGTCGGCTGGAATGGTTGAAAGGGTGCGAGTGCAATCGCGAAAGAACAATGAAGCTGCCCAGAAAGTGGTTGCTTCGGGCGGTCGGTTGAGGCATGCAGCGGTACACCGCGTCCCGACCGGAGTTGAACTAGAGTCGGGCCGACGGAGACGTCGGAGGTCGAGCAGGAGGCTGGAAGTGATGATGTGTCGAAGAGGTGCGAGAAGAGTGTTTTTTACTTCGAGGCAGAATTAGCGTCAGGACGGGTGACAAAGAGCGAAGCATTCTGCTCATGCCGGAGTGGCTTTCAATTTTCGTAAGCGAGTAGATTTTTCAGACTACCAGTAAATCAGTAATATGAGAGGTATTCATCCAATTTCGTTTAACATGATGAAGGATTTATAATAAAATTTTCCACAATGACATTTCCATTCAATTTCACAGAGCCTTGCTTTCCAAAAGTTGTTCTAATCCCGGCTGGAGTAAACTGCAGTTGTTATGAGAACAACTTTTGGGAAAAGAGGGCTCTGTGAAATTAAATAGAAATGTCAGCTCTACTCATGTCATTGTGGAAAATTCTACTGCAAACCCTTCATTACTTTAGACGAAATAGGGTGAATACATGTCATACTACTGATTTACCGGTAGTCTCGATACTCTACTTACATACGAAAAGAAGCAGTTTTGTTTAGCATATTTCCTTTCAGGCGATGAAGGACTGGTAGTTAATTTTTTACACAATCTGATGACTAGAGCCTCGGAAGAGGTTCGACTCCCGGTAGGTATGCTGATATCTTACACGTTTTGGGAAAGCAAGGCTCTGTGAATTTGAATGAAAACATCAGCTCTACTCATCAGATTGTGGGATACATCAACTAATAGTCCTTCATCACCTACAACGAAATAGAGTGAATACAACCGACGCAGTTTTCGTTTCACTTAAGGCGACGAGTGGAAGGGATTCGTGAATTGGAATTGTAGGTTTGAGCAAACAGATCCTAGCTGCATCCACATACAACTTGCTAGTGTTGTCAGGGCGAATTAGTTGGAAAGCAGGGCTATGTGAAATTCAATGGAAACGTCAGCTTAACTCATTTCATTGTGGGAAAACTCTTCTTCTACCAGTCCTTCATCACTTTAAACCAAATTGGGTGAATAAATCTCATACTACTGATTTAGTGGTAGTCACAAAAACAATACTTAATTCGAAAAATATGTGAAATTGAATGAAAACGTCAGCTCAACTCATATGATTGTGGGAAAATTCTTCTTCTACCAGTCCTTCATCACTTTAAACCAAATTGGGTGAATACATCTCATACTACTGATTTACTAGTTGTCTCGAAACTCTATTCTTATACGAAAATAGTTGGATGCAGCTTGTTTGAAAGCCTCTGCTCTCGTAGGTTGTAGGTTTACAGACATTTGGGTTTGTACAAAGTCCACGATTACGAGTATGATACCTAAAAGAGCAGACGGCTCCGGACAAGGTGCGTCCAATTAAGTCGCCTTGACAACAAGCAAGTTGGGAACACAAAGCCAAACCATGTCTGTGCACCAAGAGGAGACTGCGACCAGACCAAAGGCCACACCATCTTGGTCTTCATATCTTCGATGCTTTATGATAATTCACAAAGACGCGAAGGTGGTCGGCTGCAATCCTACCGAAATTTTACAACCTAAATTTGTCCAGTTAATGAGACATCTCATGATTTGGCTTGGGATCCTAGGCTTTTCAT